GAGATGGGAAGTGCTGAACCCGGAGCCTTCAGTATACTGTACAAAGCTTGCAGTCCAACAGTGGGCTGTATGCTGCTTGTAGAGTTATGGCCCCTCCGTCTTCCACACTATGGATAACAGCCCTATTTAGTTGTTAGGGAACTATGTACAACCAGCATGTCCTGAAGCCAGCATGTTAGCCCTTTGGTTTTTCACTGAACACAGAAGTGCAACAGTGCAAAAAGAAGACTGCTGTGCCTTGATTTTGGTGAATATGGGTTCATGTGGAGAGGTCACCTGGGTACCTCAGCCTCCCCTTCTTCATTCACATTTCTAATTTCAATGTGACAATGGTGGGGGGGAGGCAAGAACACAACACTCACATGCGACCTCCACATGCATTTTAAAGAACTGAAAAAGAGTTCTTCTGTGTGGTCTACATGTTACATTAAACATGTACCATACATCTTGAAATGTTTTTCTGTAATAGCTGGCTGGATGGCTCAGTGAGTTAGGTACAGTATCTGGCTGAGGAGCTAGAGGTGGGGATTCAATTCCCCACTGTGCCTCCTGTGAGTAGAGCCAACCTGTGTGGCCTTGGGCAAGCTGCACAGTCCCAGGGCACTCCCAGAAGAAGGGAATGGTCAACCACTTCTGAGTACTTTCTGCCTAGAAAACCCTGAAAAGGGTCACCATAAGTCAGAATTGATGGCTCATTATGCTGACAATGATTCTATTAAATGCGTGAAGCCTTGATTCAGACCAGTGCAGTCTCCTCTCCCCCCACCCAGGCTACAAAAAATTCTTCCTTTTGCTTCCCCATGCATGTGGAGTAGGAGAATTCTTTTTAAAACTCTGTGGGGAATTTAAGCCTCCTCCATTTGTAAACACTAGTCACAGACTGGGACTACATATGTCTATTAGAAAATAAAACAGAAAAAGTTCATAAATACAGATACATATTTAACACTGCATGTTGTTTAGCCCATTTTCAAGATGAATTCTAATAATCAGGAAAGCTCCACATATGGAAATAGATGTCCATGCATAGCTGATAAAAAAAAGGAAGGGCATTTTCACACTTCCATCAAAGGCCTTGATCCCATAGTCAATATGAAATATTGTTGTACTGCATTCTACTTTAAAAAACACACACAACTACACACTTTTTAAAAGATGTCCCCATGATGTAAAATCAAGCCCAGATTACTTTGCCAGGGAAGCATGTTTTACAGTTGGAAAGTGACCTAAAATACTGTTCTGCCAGAAGGTTGTTTAAAATAGCATGCACATGAAACTCAATTTATTTCATTCATTTCGGCATATGTAGACCCATCATATGTACACCCATCTGTTGCTGCAAGTTGCACCTTTGGGCAACCAGTGGAGACAGTGGGGTAGGTAGCAGGAAAGAAAGAGAGAGGAATGGATGCAAGAGAGGGAAGGTCTGCTGGCAAAACTGTTCGTAGAAAGTCTGGCTTCTTCTGTCTCTTTAAGAATTATTTTGCTGGTCTCTGGGAGGTGGAGAGAAGGGTGGAACCTCATCCCTTTTGGGAGCGCCAGCTGCCAAGAATCGTCCAATCCTTGGAGCAAAGGAGGGGGGGAAAGGGAAGCCGAGCATTTTCCCCAGGCTTCTCAGACAGGAGGAGTGTGCATGCATATGTGCGTGTGTGAGAGAGAGAGAGGGAGAGGAGGGGATGAAGTGAAATAAAGGGAAGGGCCAGAGGGAGAGAAAGATGGTGTGGAGAAGCCCATCCCAACCAAAATGCAACCTACACCATACTCCATTCCTACCATCAAGGCATGCAGTAGAGATGGGAAGACCAAGGGAACTGCCATGAGATGCAAAGATCTGTTACTGAACCCATCTCTCTCATACTTATTTTTTTTGAAGGGGGGGGGAGACCCAAACACACAACCTCACACAGGGATGACTCTTGCCAGCTGCCTCCCAGGTGGGGATGCAAGCAGTCTTTCAAATGTCACATGATTTTACATCTAATCAACTTAGAATGAAACTAATTTCACACTAATTTCACTTTTAAATGTAAAGAAAGGAAGACCCATTCAGGGCATTGTAGAAAGTCAGCACACAACCCTTTGGCAACTGAAGATTAAATCCCATTGGGAACTGCTTACCAATTAACATTATTTATGTATGTCTGATTTGTGAGGAGAAAAAAAGAAAAAACATGAGCCTGATGGAAGGAATCACACAGCATGTAATATGCCTAATGCCTTTCCAAGACACGCTGAAGGCATTTAAAAGAGATTATTTAGACATATACCAGAAACCCAAAAGAAGCTACTTCTAAACAGATTTCTATTAAAAGTGTCATCTGCCCTGCAGTTTTCTGAATACTTTAGGCAGCAAAGTGCCTCAGAAGATTCATCTGCTAAATTCCTGTCTCTTTAATGAGTCAATTTTCCATAATGCAAAATTAAAAACGTGACTCATAAAACTCAGAGGCAACCCAGAAAGCAAACGCTAGATAAAGGATGAGACACATTTAGGCACATTTATGCGCTGTTGTAGTTTGCATTTGCCAAGCTTCTCTCATGGTGGATTCATTTTCTAACTGCTGATTAATGGCGTTTTTCCAGGGCAGCACAATCTTTGCAAGCAAGAGGAAGATGTTTTTTTTTTCAAAGGAAAATGGCTACCCCAATAATGAGCTTAGCTGTCACCTTGCGGGGATACATCTGTAGCATGAAAAACATCACTGTGGCGGAGATCCCACAGCTGTATCAGGAATGAATGGGTTTGGTGCATGCATCCTGCAGCCTACAGCTTGAAATGAATCTGACATACCATTTGGCTTCCAAACTAATTCAGAATCTCTGGGAGAAGTAAGACCTCCTCCTCCTGAAATTATGTCCCAACATTTCATGAACTCTTTCCCTTTTCATTCTGTTGGCTCTTTCAAAATTTAATTATTTGAAAGCTGTTTGCTTTTCATTTCACAGATTATGAAATGAAATGTAAACTATTGAGCCGTAGTCTGCACAAATGATCAAAGCAGCTTCTGCTTTACATTGTTATATAACGGATCCTTAGTAATTCCAGGAAATGCTCCTTTGAAAGGGACATAAAATCACACCAAAACTTAGTAGATTTGGGTTGAATAATAATAGTTATATTTTAGAGGCATATACATTGTTTGAACATACCATACACAATTCCCAAAAATCCCAATTTAAGATCATTCTAGCTTCCTTGGAATAAAATTACTGTTTAGGAGAAGATATCAGATTATGAGGACTAGATTTCTCAGAGCAAGTAACCACCTACTTGAATTCAGGTTAATTCAGCTTGCTAACAAGCTTTAGGGACGCGCTGCGGGTTAAACCGCAGAAGCCTCTGTGCTGTAAGGTCAGAAAACCAGTAGTCATTAAGATCAAATCCATGCGACAGAGTGAGCTCCCGTTGTTTGTCCCAGCTCCTGCCAACCTAGCAGTTTGAAAGCATGTAAATGCAAGTAGATAAATAGATACCACCACGGTGGGAAGGTTACGGCGTTCCGTGTCTGGTCATGCTGGCCAAACAGTGGCTCTATGGCTTGGAGATGGGGATGAGGACCGCATTCTAGAATCAGACGACTGGACTAAATGTCAAGGGGAACCTTTACCTAACAAGCTTTTAGAAGGAACATTTATACAGTGGACCCTCTACTAACAGAATGAATCCGTATTGGAACAGTGGCTGCAAGTCGAAAAGTCTGTAGGTCGAATCTCCATTGACCTAGAATGCATTGAAAACCGATTAATCCCATAACTGGCGGTTTTTATTCTATTTTTATTCCATTTAGGTTTTTTTCTGTTCTGTAGGTCGATTCTCTGGCTGCAAGTTGAATCTAAATTTTGCCACCAGAGAAGTATGTAACTCGAAAAGTCTGTAAGTCGAGCCGTCTGTAAGTCGAGGGTCCACTATATAATACAGTGGTGCCTCGCTTAACGAGCGCACCGTTCAACGATGAATCTGCATAGCGATCTATTTTTTTAGATCACTAATGCGATCGCATTGCAATGTTCTGAATAGGCAAAACATCACATTGCGATGTTTTTTTAAACAGCTGATCGGCGGTTCCAAAATGGCTGCCGGGTGCCCAAAATGGCCACCGCAAGTGTTTTCGCGCCCTGCCCTCGCTTACCGAGGGTGCAAAAATGGCGGCGCTATGGAGGAACTTCACTGAACGGTGAGTTTGGGAGCCATAGGAACGAAGTTTAATGCGTTCCTATGGCTTTTTCTGTTCCGTTTAGCAATGTTTCTGCATAGCGACTATTAATCCGGAACGGATTAACTTCGCTATGCGGGGCACCACTGTATATCCAAATGATACAATAAATTGCATGGTTAAATAGAAAGTCTGCTCTTCATAATAACACAATGGCTGAAATCCAGCAGTAAATTGTAATCAGAGTTGGCCCATTAGATTAGTGGGGATTTGGTGGGTCAACAACTATGTAAATTCCATTGATTCAACATACCTATTTTACTTACTTGCTACTGGATTTCAGCCATTGAGTAGGTAAGATTGCTTACTTTAAGTGTATCACACAGACATGTCTTGTTCAGGAACTACGGGATGTGGCATCTCCATATTACAGTACTTATTTAAAATTCTAATATTGTAAAATCATTTATTTTGGCTGAATGGCTGATATACAAAAAAGGGAGCAATAAAATATCCTTTTGATCTGTTTTGTTCCCTGGAGAATGGGAGATGGAGGTGGACAAGCATCTCCCTATCATCCAAAGTATATAAAAATGACACGATCTGCTGTTAAAATACCAAAGGCAGTCCTGATGGGCATCTCTGACTAGAACTGCACTTACTAACCAAGCAAAATAGTGTTTCTCCACTCTCCTTCCTCTCATAAACATTGAACAGGTGAAAGAACCTATATCAGAATAAACTTTCCCCTTTCTTTGCTCTCCCGAATACTATGTTCAAATGGCATCACTAATCATACATTTCAATCCATTTATGTAAATAATATATGGGAAGAGGCAAACGTACCGAGGACACGGATTTGCATCACTGCTCCATGTAAACCAAAGAACATCCACAGTGGCTGGGAACAATCCACGCACACCTGCATGCCGGCGCTTGCTCCATTGTGGCTCAAATGCAGTTCTCCTTCTGAATTCACCATGAATCCCAAAATGTCTCCGCTCTGGAGTGGCACAAGCACTCTACAGACTGCCCAGAACTCTTTTCGATCAACTAAAGACTCAGGATTATAGGGAAGGTCGCTGGGCCGCAATGTACTAGGATCACAAGTCGTCACTCCATAAGAAAGTGTCCCAGTGCGTGAGGTGTTAGATTTATTGATTTTGACAAATATTGTCTCATTGATTCTAAGAGGCCTGCTGGTGAAGACCAAAGTTCTCTCTTCCCGAGCATGCTCCAGACGGGCAACAGTCTGGTCATCCAGAATTTTAATATGAGCTCCCCTGAGTTGATGGAAGCGGAGGTCACTTTCAAGCTGGGATGGGAGAAGGTGGGAATGTTGAGAGTTGAGGGAGTTCTGTGGGATAGGACACATGGCAGCCATGACATGGAAGTTCTCTTCCTGGAGGTTGAGGTCACAAAGGCTCACAGACAGCCGGGTGTCCTCTGTCTCCCTGCGCAAGGAGGGCCGGCGGATTGCTGTAAATGATCTTGGACGGAGGCAATCAGGAGGAATAATTTCGCTATCTGCAAATGAGAGCAAGAAAGGGAAAAGATCACCCAAGGATAAAGGATAAGCATTATTGTTTGCTTTAGGTGAAAGTCAAGGCATTGCTGTCACCAGTGCATTCCCCTTTTAGTTGATAACAATGGGTCTGAGACCACACCCAGTGAAATAATCTCTCTAAACTTTACAGGGTTGAAAGAGAAGAATAGTTGGATTTAACAAAGATTTTTGTAAAAGAATGAAGGAAGCTATCTACCACTCTGTTTGTCCAAACATCTCTCCCCACCAAAAAGTGCAACGAAAGGATGAGTTATGTCATATATTGGGATAACTGACCTACATGAAATGCTCTTGAAAGTACCTATCCAAGAGGCCAGAGTGATCATTCTAATCCTAGTTTGCTATTCTGAGAAAGGTCTAGCTTTATTAGTGAATGTTTATAGGTATTTTATTCAAGTGACTTTTATAGAGGCTAATATCTTACATGCACTTTCCTGGAAGTAAACATCACTGATCTTAGGAAAACACAGGTAATAGAGCTTTAATTGTTCTATCGTTTTAATATTTTACTGCATCTTATGACAGTTTTATCTAATTTGTTGTTTTTAGTACATCACTCAGGGTGCAATTCTTGGGGAAGACCAACATACTAAAAAAAGAAAAATTATGCTTTGCAAATGTATTCATCTAAATAACAAACAATCCAGCAAAAGTCATTATGACTTAAGCTCCACCGGTGCTTATTAACGGAGAATCAATAAAGAGAAGGAGTGAAGTCTTCTCTTTATTCTCCCTTAATTTCAGGTAGAATTCTTATGTAGAAATATCTGCTTAAAGACAGTTGAACTGCAAATATGCCAGGGTCACTCCAAAACAGTCTGTGCCTGAGTAACACAAGAATTCACCAATTCTCTCACACACTCAGCTACTACTGTCTGTTCAGTGCCAGAAAAAAACAAAACACCACACACACATTCAAAGGGATGTGTCTTTCTTGCTCTTATGTTTCTCTCTAGCAGTGTAAGTTTTTTAGCTATATGTGACTCCAGAGTAAGACATGCAAAGGAAACCATTGTTCACATTTTAGCGATAGTTTTGGTGATACACATGATTTTCCTACTAAGAAGTTTTCAAAATTATAACTTTTTTTCCACTTGTAGGAGTAGATCTTCTAAAAAAAGTTTTGTCTAAATCTGTGCATTTCCCCTTTATGTACTTCATTCTGCCATTTTTCATTCACTCTTAATACCACTGTGTCACTCCTTCTCTGTCTACCCGCTTTTCTCCTAACGGTCATCACCATGTTTCCTTAGAAATAATCACCTCTCTCGTACTCTCTCATCACTATGAACTGAGACTTTTGGGGTACCAAAATGCCTCTTGCTGATCAATAATACTAATGATGATGATGATGTGCTGTCAAATTAATTTTGAATTGAATTTTTATTTTTTCCAAAAACCTTTTGCATTTAAAGACTCCTAGGAGTGCACAGATAATGTTAACTGAATCAGCTTGACAGTATTTTCCAGTTTCACTTCTGCATCAGCATAGAATGGGTGTCTTTTCACACAAGAACATTGAATTAGAGAAACATTTGCCAGACAAAGCACCAGGACACTTAAGGGAAAAGAGCTCTCCTTTTAAGAAAGAATGATTCTTCCATGACCCACTATTCTTCCATTCCACCTGAGAGAAGGGAATAAGATGAGCTTTTGTGCAACAGACAGCCAATTCCTATTTATTATTATTATACCTAGAACTATTTCCCATTCTCCTTCCATTCAAGGAAGGCTGCAAAATTATATATTGTTGATCTGAAACACAATCTTATTATACATATTGACTCAGAAACAAATCTCACTGTGGCCATCCTGGCATATTGCCTCAGAATGATGTTTGGTGGTAGGAAGCAGCAAGGAGAAGTGGCTGGGGTAGGATCCAAGCACCATGAGCAATAAGCAGTGGTGGTGTCTAGGGTGAAAAGTTATGGATGATGGCTGGGCAGGATCCAGGAGTTAAGGAGCGGAAAGATATGGTGGAGGCCCAGGATCCAAGCTATAAAATAACAGAGTGGTGCTGGAGTTACTTTGAATCTGCAAATTGCCTTCTGGATTAAGATCACATCATGGCCGCCATGTGGCCTATCCCACAGAACTCCCTCAATGCTCAACATACCTTCAGCACAGAGGTAGCCATGTTAGTCTGTTTCAGCTTGTAGAACAAAACAAAGCAAAACCAAAACCAGTCCTATTGCAGTACCTTGAAGACTGCAATTCGGTTAAAGGCAATTGCACACAAGAAGTTATGCTCCTAGGCTCTGGAATGTACTGCCCCAAGAAGCCAGGTTGCCCCCTCCTTCTTGTATTTCTGTTTGCAGGCAAAGGCCTTCCTTTTCAGGTGGATTTTAAGCAATAAATGTTTCAGGAATGCTGTGTTTTTTAAACCTAGAGATTGTTAAACATTTTTAAAATGTTCTTTAAAAATATTTTTATCTTAGTTTTAATACTGAAATATATTTAAATGTTTTTAAAATAGTTATGATATTTTAAAACCGTTGAGTAATGCCCTTTTAATTGCTAATTGTGTGGGGTGCGTGAGTATAAGTAAGCAAGCTTTCAAAAAAGTAGCCGTGTTAGTCTGTGCAACCATATCAGACAAAAAAACCAAAGCAAAACAATCAAGCAGTTAATCTATAAAGTGACACCTACATTTCTCTCTCTCCCTCACTTTTAATTTTTTATCTGATCTGCAAGAGAAGACACTTGCACCCTTGCTTTCTATCACATGGTTGGTCTTCCCAGGACTGTGCACCTGATCCTGCGCCCATTTATGTGACCAAAACCCAAGATAGCGGCTCTCATGGTTGCCTTATTACATGCAATATTTTTCAGACAGATTTTGCCCAACAGATTTATCCCATTGTGAGCTTTTGTGGATTACAGAGGGATCTGAGGATTGCAATCTACAAATGTTTTCACTGAAATATCAACTGGCACAATATTTTTGTCTAGTTACGCACGCCTCACACATATATGTACTATGCAAGTGTGGATGTGTCAGTATCTTGATACCCAACTAACTGTAAATCCTTCAAAAATGCCAGTGTTTGAGCAAAATTTATGTTTGTGCTGTCTTCATTCTGCAATTCATTGACGTCAGCCACTAATGAAGCTGTTGATAGGTTCTTAAAATGCTATGCTCCCATGTAGGATGAGTGAAAAAACATGTAAAGAGAACTAAAGAAAACTAAAACTAAAATCATGGCGACAGAGGAACCAGTTATTTCGGAAGAAATCGAAGAGTAATATTTTCAAGAGTAATATTTTCAAATGATCTACAGTTACCTCAGGAGAGGTACAGCGTAAATTAACCATGTGGTGTGAGACAACGCATAAGTGATTTCCTACTTTTCTTGGGGGTTGGAAGAAAGAAAACCCACCTTTGCTGTACAACTGCCGTCCATTCCACCAACCACAGCAAGGCACCACTGGTTTCATTAGACTTATAGGCGAAAATTTTGGACAATACAAGGTTGCTTAGGTCTGCCTTTTAAACTGCTGACAAATGTACTTTTTTCTCTTGCTCTTCCATCCACCCATATATTGTTTGCATAATACAAATACACTTTCTTCATCTCCTTTCCTCTTACCTGACCACAGTCAGGAGATGAGAGCAGGTCCTCTTATAGACTGAGAACTGGTTGAGAACTATGAAACAGAGCTTAGGTGTCAATGGGCAATTTTCACAAAGGAGAGAGGTGAAAAGCAGTGTGCCCCAGGGATCTGTCCTGGGACCGGTGCTTTTCAACCTGTTCATAAATGACCTGGAGACAGGGATAAGCAGTGAGGTGGCCAAGTTTGCAGATGGCACAAAACTTTTCCGGATGGTGAAGACCAGAAGGGATTGTGAAGAGCTCCAGAAGGATCTCTCCAAACTGAGAGAATGTGCAGCAAAATGACAAATGTGTTTCAAAAAAAATTAGGGTAATGCATATTGGGGCAAAAAATCAAAACTTTATTTATCAGCTGATGGGTTCTTAGCTGTCCGTGATAGATCAGGAAAGAGATCTTGGTGTGCTGATGGACAGCTCGATGAACATGTCAACCCAGTGTGTGGCAGCAGTGAAGAAGGCCAATTCCATGCTAGGTATCATTAAAAAGGGGATTGAAAATACAACAGCCAACATTATAATGCCATTGTACAAAATGCTGGTAAGGCAGAGTATTGCGTACAGTACACACCTCAAAAAAGACATAGTGGAACTGGAAAAGGTGCAGAAGAGAGCAACTAAAATGATTACTGGACTGGGGCACTTCCCTTATGAGGAAAGGCTATAGTGTTTGGGGCTCTTTAGTCTAGAGAAAGGCACTTTGGGGGCACATGACTGAGATGTATAAAATTATGCAGGGCATGGATAAAGTGGATAGAGGGAAGCTCTTTTCCCTCTCACACAATATCAGAACCAGGGGACATCCACTCAAATTGAGTGTTGGGAGAGTGAGAACAGACAAAAGAAAATATCTTTTTACCTAGCATGTTGTTAGTGTGTGGAAATCCTTGCCACAGGATATGGTAATGGCATCTGGCCTATATGACTTTAAAAGAGGATTGGACAGATACCTGGAGGAAAAGTCTATCGCAGGTTACAAGCCATGATAGGGATGTATAATCTCCAGGCTTAAAAGGAAGGTACCTCAAAATGGCAGATACAAGGGAATGGTATCAGGAAGCAGGTATCTAGTTGTCTCATGTGCTGCCAGAGGCATCTGGTGGGGCTACTGTGAGACACAGGAAGCTGGACTAGATGGGCCCTTGGCCTCATCCAGCAGGGCTCTTCTTATGTTCTTATGTTCCATCTCAGGATTTTATGTCTCCCATCAGTAACAACAGAATGAAACACAGAAAACTGCAATACCAAAATGGACTGCATTACCTCTTACTGCATTTGAGAAACACCCCTTTTTTCTTTTCTTTTTCTTTTCTTTCTTTCTTTCTTTCTTTCTTTCTTTCTTTCTTTCT